GGGTTGGTTCTGTAACGCCTGGTGTGCGGCCGTACCGGGGCCGGCTGAGCCCAGCACAACACCAGACAGAAGGGAAAACCGGATTTTTATTGAAAAGACCCCCAAGTCCCCTCGTTCTCATCGCTCCATAGGTCTTACTCACTCGTTTGCGCTTGCTCTGTCATACCTGCACGAGCCGAGACGTCTGTCCAGACGGTGCGGCTGGAATCGCTTGTGGTGACCAGCAGGACAAGGGACACGGTGTGCCGGGGCCTCACCAGCCCTCTGGGCTTCTCGAGGGGTGGTGGCACTGCGTGATCCGTGCAGGCGTCCTGGTACCTTTGGACAAGGGCCGCTGTGGGGCGGCTGCACCGTGTTGCCCTGTTGCCGTTCCATCTCCGCGCTGCAGCTGGGATCACGCTGCCGTCCCCAGCTAACGCCTTGCTTCCTTCTGGAGTCTCGCACACATTCTTGATTTCTTGACTTGCTGCTCCATTCGCTTACCTCTGCTCTGCCGTTTTTCCTGCTGCTTTTACACACGCTCCACGGATACCTGTGTCATGTTTCTTGTATAACCCTCTGCCGCAGGACTAGCATCCTCCCCGTTTAGCGTTCCATTTTTATGAGGAATGGAGCACAAGGTCTAGGTGGTTTCCCAGTCAGCCAACACTTAGCAGTACATGTTCTCAGGGAGAAATCTTCCCTTTCAGGCTGGATTCAGGCCAGCTCCTTAACTGAACTCTCCCAGGCTGGACCCTGCTTGGCAGACAGAAGCAAATGTCTTTTAAGCTGGGACACTGCTGGCACCTTGTGCCTGAGCCAAACCCTGATGGTCCTAATGGTCCCTTTGGCTTTCGCTGCAGACCCCTGTGCTGTGCCCAGCCTGATCCTGCCTCCCAGCTCCCTGTGCTTCAGGCTGCTGGCCGGGATACTTTCCAACCCTCGGAAGAGGAGGACCAGCCCCAGTTTTGAGTCAGAGAAAATGGTATTAATGATGCCTCTTAAAAATGTTGAGAACTCCTGAAGTACTGATAGCTGCAGGAACATCCCCAGGGGAAGATGTGTGCCGGAGAGCATTTCAGGGCTCTCACTGGCATCTCCATGTGCTTCATCTTGCAGTGTGCAAGCCAAGGGTACAGAGGGAGCAGAGCATTTCATCCCATGGCAGTGCTGTGCTGTGTCACAGCCTTTGCCCTGTGCTGCTTGCCACTGGTTCATGTTTGGAAAGCTTTGAAGATTTAGCAGTGACAGCTTTTGTCTTTGCAGGAAGTTGTGGATATTCTTGATTACCAAAGTGTTCTGTGCTGGCAGAACAGGGAAAAGTCTGGCTGGGGCCGGAGGCAGCACCTGAACACGGGATGGGTTGTTTAAGCAGCTGATGTCTGTGTTGAGCTCAGATCTGTGGCTGAGCTGTGACTTAACCTCACAGGAAGACCTTTCAGTGTTGATCCGGAATACTTTGCGTGGTTGGAAACCCTCTGCCTCTATTTGCAAGGCGCTCTGAAGGTTAATGAAGATGATCAGAATAGACTTAGAGCCAGAGGCGTTAGGCAGACAGTGCACCTGCTCTGTCCAGATGTGAGCTCTAGGGCTAAGGGACCATTTCACATAAATCCTGGTCTCTAGCGCATCCAGCTGTGCCCAGCTCTTACAGGTCCAGATGCTGCCGGTGCATGGGCACTGGTCTCAAGCAACACAGGACCATGTCCTAAGGTGATGAAGGGCGTGTTTAGATTTTGGGAGAAGCCTCATCCTTCTTAGCTCAGATGCTGCTGGTGGTTTGTTCTCCAAGAAGGTTCACTTTGCTTCCAGGCCCTGCTACGTGGCTGCATAGCTGTTGAGAGCTGGGAGTCAGCAATTCCTTTTAATAAGATTAAGAATTAAGTCATTCTCTAGCCACATATTTGTGACTAGAGAAAGTAAATATAAACCTTTCAGCCCTGAGGTTCCTAGTGTTGATGCACAGATCTCTGCTGCCAACACAAGAATCAATTTGCTGCCCTTGTCTGAAATCATCCCTGTCCCAGGAACACAGACGATATGAATTCTGAGCAGCATCTGAGCTCTGCTGTGAGCACCTTGGGGGATGCCTTCTAAAACCAGTAGTAGTACACCTGCTTGTCAAGAAACCCGCTCTAAATGCGGCTGTACTCGTATTCCTGTCCCGTCCCAAACCTGCAGTCCTTGGGTAGGTTCCTAGAAAAATTTGTTACCCCTAATTTTCCCAAGCTTTTAGACCCTTCCACAACCAAGATGCAGCAGTGGTTTAGAGAGCTTTAGGAGCACAGATCCAGGGCCCGTGAGGGCTTTTAACCGAGTCTAGATCTCTTTGCTTCTCTCACAATGCGCTCATGGCACACATAACCTGGTTTGGATCGTGCCTGTGGAGAATGCCAGCACCGACAGATTTTTTCAAGGCTCATTTCCACTGAAAGGTGGTAGGGGAGGTTGAAACCTTCTTGCCTAGGTTTTAGGTTTTCTGTAACACCATCACAGACTTCAGTACATTAATTTCTCCCAAGCTTTGCAGCTTGCGTGCCCCGAACACCCAGAAGTGTCTGTCTGCCAAATGGCACTTGTCATGGGTCTTGTAACCTGGGCTTGGGAAGGGACTGATACGCTCATCTGCAAATACCTGTTGTCTGGGTCCTTCTGGAGCTGAATCCTTGGCATCTGCGTCACAGTCACACCACGTGCGTACAGCATAGAGCCCCTCGCCCAGGAAAACAGAAATGGAGTTGAGTCCAAAACCAAGACAGACTGTGCTGACGGGGTGCGGGGCATGCGTGGACCAGTGTACTAACCAGCCAGTGCTGTGCATGCAACCAGGCCTCGGCATCCTTTTACCCCTCTATTTTCCAATGTTTTTTCCTTCTCAAATCACCTAGATCCCTTTTCCATGTCTTTTCCTCCTCCCCTAAACATCCCATCCCCTAAATGTTCTGTGCAATCCCAAAATGATTCCCACAGCCCTAGGCAGTGACACCCCTCCCAGCCCAAAGGCGCTTCAGAGCGCTGCTCCTCTTGGCTCTCGGTGGTGGGTTTCACACCTGGCACGAGGGGCTGCGGCTGTCCTGGGATGGCAGACCCCCCCTTTTCTGACTCTGTAACTGGGGTTTCCCCACCTGCCTCTGTGCCCCCCGGGCTTGGGGAGGTGGGTTCTGATGGGCTGGGGATTCCTGCAATGGCCTGGGCGCAGCTGGGGGAAGGTGTTACTCATATTCCCCCACCTGCCATCAGTCTCTGTGTTTAAAGAGGAGCTTTTTGCTGCTCCTGGCAACCAGGTGGGTCCAGAGTGAGGGTGAAGCTTTCCATCTCTCCTGTAAAACTTGCGTTATGCTGTATTTAGGGTCTCTTCAGCTCTTCCCCAGGAAAACTGTGGTGGTGCTTTACAAGGTGCTTAATGGGCTCTGCCATTAAGGCTCTCCTGAACCCAGCTGTGCTTGTTCCCAGTCCCAGCCGAAAGGTCTGAGCCAGCTCCAGAGGCTTCCTCCGCCTCCGAGGCGGAGGAGGCGAGTGCCCCAGAGAGCGTGGAGGCAGGCGGGAAGGATTGCCCCTCAGAGACACCTCTCTCCTCGCTGGCTAGAGGCTGACCAGGTTCTGGACGTGCTGGATGTCTTCTGTAAGCGTTTGGGATGTGCTTGGAGAAACAGGAGCAGCAGCGCAGAAATGTGGGTGAGTGACAGCGTGGCCTCGGGTGGCTGCGCAGGCAGTAACAGCTCTTCGCTGTGTCTCTCTTAGAGCCCCTCTGTTCTTGATGCGAAGTGCACAGAAGATGGAGACTGTCCCATGGGAAACCCAGTGGTTCATGGCAACGGTACTGGATGCTTTGCTAAAAAACCCAACCCATAAGATCATTTAATTCCTCGTGTTTGGTAACAAATAGATCCATGGAGGTGCCTGATTGCCCCACTTCAGTGCTTTTTGGAAGTGGGCACGGAAGTGCTCTCCAGCCATTTATTCTTGGCAGAACCTTAGAGTGACATGTCATGGCCGGACGAGCAGGTGTTGCGGCACAAGGCGCTGTCACAGCAAACACAGGGGTGCTCTGTGTCTGATCTTAGCTGCTGGAACTGAAACCAGTGTGCCGTGTGATTGGCAGGTTTTCCTTTTGTTATAAAACCTGGCTTTTATTTCATGCTCGTCAATATTAGCAGCCCACGTGAGTTCAGCTGGAAAAGGATGTTTCAGCTCTAGGAGGTCGGTTGCCAAAGCTTTGTGTGCAAGATTGCCCCAGCTCATCGTGTTCCCACCCAGGGAGCGGGTGGCTTCAGCAGCCACAGGGCAGGAGAGGCTGTGCTGGACAAACAGCAGATTCTTGTCTTTCTAAAGCACCTCCTGTCGTTCGGCCTCGAGGGAAGGTTTCACAGGGAAGTTGTTGGGTGGGGAAAACACTGAAAATGATCCCAGGGTCATCTTTGTGGTTCAGGTTTTGAGAAGACCAGAACAAGCCTGTGGCACCATCCCAGGAGGGGAGCTGCAGAAAAGATGTTTTGAAAAGGAATGGTAAATGATACACAGCATCTCATTTCTAGGGATAAAAACTGGGAAATGTGTGATGTTCAACACCACCCATTCCACCTGTGAGATCTATGGCTGGTGTCCTGTGGAGAACAGCACCCTGCCCAGGTAAGGCACAGGGTGAGGGGGCAGCAGATGGTGAGAGCTTCGGTTCCTTCCCTCTGGGCTCTGTGTACCCAGAGCGTACTTGCCTGAGAGGCTGCCAGGCTCAGGGAGATCTTTGGCATTGATCTACCGGTCAGAGAACTTCATGCAAGAGCATTTCTTGCATCTGTCCATTGTAGCCAACGTCCTGTGATTGTGGAAGGGACTGCAGAGCGAGGGGAGTGGGGACGTGCCTTGGCTGCTGGGCAGAATTTGAGTTCATTGGTGGTTGTTTTCCAGGAAACCTCTTCTGGCTGAGGCGGAGAATTTCACTCTTTTTATAAAAAATACTGTCCACTTCACCAAATTTAACTTCTCCAAGTAAGTATGATGCTTCTCTGGCCAGACTCTGCGTGCAGCCTCGTGCAGCCTCTGCGCTGAGCTTGTCTGCCTAGGGCTGAACGGTGAGGCGTCCGGGAAGCCAAGTGCCATCTGGGACGGGTGCTGGCTCAGGCAGTTATGGTGCGTGTTCAGGAGAATGCTGGTCACCTCAGTGGCACCTGTGTTTGCAGATGTGAGAACGGTGAGATGGGGAGCCCTCAGAGAGAGGGACTGGTGTCTGTCTGCCTGTCTAGAGACCGCAGACAGAGCCAGACAAGGCCAGTCATTCCCAAGGTGTCATTTTACCCCATCTATTTTTGCATTTTAGTCCTTGCAAAATGGTTTCACAGAGGCCCAGCCCTGACTGTGCTGCCAGACAGGCAGCAGACATGGTATCACCCTGCTATCACCCCGAGGGCGCTGGCTCCAGCTGGGTTGTTATGTCTGGGGTGGGAGCTAGCTGCCCGGGAATAAAGGAGAAGCACAAAGGCGGAGCTGGGAGGGGAAGGACCATGGCAGGCCCTGGGAGGGATGATAACTCCATGTGCGATTCCTCTGGGCCGGTTTCCCTCCACCCTCTCCAGCTGAGGCTTTGGGAGAGGCGATGGCTGTCTGCCCCCGAAGGAGGAGCGTTAGTGGTCCCACGCCAGCGGCAGGGTCTACTTTTCAGTCCTGCAGCAGGGCTCCCTGACCTCCCGCACCCCACTCCACCTCTGACAGCTCCCCTCTCCCCTGTCTCAGGTGCAATACTTTGCAAACCAATGACCCCACCTATTTCAAGAGCTGCACATACGATCCGTTCTTCAACCCATCCTGCCCTGTCTTCCGTGTCCGTGACATGGTGGAGGCAACTGGAGAGACCTTTGGGGACCTCGCGCTGCTGGTACTTGTTTTTTTAAAAGTATGGAAGAGGACTCCAAATTCCCCAGGGATGTGGGCAGGGGGCGGGGACAGGCCTGACCCCTGAAATGCTGTAGGAATGTGTGATCTGTGACTGTCTGAACAGTAAAGAACTCGGCAAATCTCTGATCCCGTGCTTCTCCTGGAATAAAAAGTGTTTTGCAGGGGGGGAGCATAGGAGTTCACATCAAGTGGGACTGCGACCTGGATCACCCTGCTGCCTGGTGCCAGCCGCAGTACTCCTTCAGCCTGCAGGACAGGAGGTACAATTTTAGGTGAGGATGCTGGGACAGTGACCACACGGGCCTGTGAGATCTCTGTTTTCCTGATTTATGCTCTGAAAGGAGCAGCAGGGACAGCGGGGATGTGGTATCAGCATGGGGTCTGTCAGTACTGGGGTGCCGTGGTACTTCCCGCACCTCGTAGCTCTGCTCTGGGGCTGTGCAAGGTGTTACCTGCCGGAGGGCAGGAACGTGGCTGTCCGCGCCCATGCTGACCCTGAACTGGGCATGCTGGGAGCTGCGTGCTCCCAGTGACCCTGGGCTGGGTGCACAGTGGACACTGACGCCCTGCTGCTGATGCCAAGCTAGTGAGTCATGACATCATGTGCATTGGTCACGTCCCGGCCCGCTGAAGGACACAGGGTGTGCACAGGCACAACGTATAGCCCCAGCAGTCATACGGCGCCGGCAGCCCTCTTCCCTCGCTGCCTGCGCAGGCCTGCCACGGCTTTCTGAGCCGCATCCGACATCTCCTGCAGAACTGCCTCCTACTACTGGGACTCCCAGCGGCGGCTCTACCGGAACCTGCTGAAGCTCTACGGCATCCGCTTCGACATCTCTGTGCACGGCCAGGTACCGCCTCCTCTGCAGACCCCGCGTGCGCTGTCCTGGCAGCCCCGTCACCGGGGCTGGCTCCTCGCAGCACTCCTTGCTGCTCTCAGCCCCATGGCTTCCCGCTGCTGGTGCTTCTCCACACCCTGGTGAGCTCTTCACCTCTTTCCAGAGTTTTCCAAACAGAGCAGGAAAAAATGGTCTGTCCTGCTTGAAGAGAAACTTGTTGGTAATGCCCTGAGCAGGGAGGCTTCCCTCGTTGGGTGTTGCGAAGTGCTAGGCCCTGTAGGCAAGGAGAGCTTGTCTGGGCAGAGGGCCTGTGGACATCTCTGAGGATCTCGTGGTGGGAGCACCCTGGCAAAGAGCAACCTGAACTTTTCTGAACCTGGACAATTAATCCCTTCTTGATTAATTGTACCCTCGGGGACAAAAGGCATGGACGTGACCGTGGCTGACGCCACGCTGTGCGGCACCACCGACAAACTCAATACTCAACTGTACAGGATGGAGCCTGCACTGAGAGGACTTGCCACCCCAAGAGATGTCCACAGCTGTCTGTCATGCTTAGCAGTGGACCTCCAGTCCAGGAGGTGTGGAACAGGAGAGAATAGCCAGGGGAGAGACACGAACCCAAAAATCTCTTTCCTCAGAGATACCAGACTCATTTGAGCATAGGGATGCATCACGTCAGGGCGGTGTTTGCTGGGATGTCCCATGGGTGGCAGCTGCTGGGGTCCTGCAGCAAGAGGGAGGCTTGCGCTGCAGGAGTAGGTGGGTCACAGCAACCTCTGCTGCCACCGTGCCACAAGCTGCCTCAGTCCCTCCTGTGACAGCCAAAGGGGTTTTGAGTCAAGGCAATAGCGGTCAGGTTCCTGCAGCTGGGCACAGAGGAATGACCCCAGTTTCCTCCAGCACCTCCCTGGCTTTGAGCACGCTGCCCAGCCCGTCCCCCAGCCCTCTCACCGCTCTGCGCCTGCTGTTTCTCACCAGGCTGGGAAGTTCAGCGTAATTCCTACTGCCGTCAGCTTCGGCACCGGCATCGCGCTCTTTGGTGCTGTGAGTACTCCAGATACGCTCTTTTCCTCTGATCTGTGGGTTGGGATTTGCCACTCATCTCGTGTTCCCCTGCCTGCCTGGGCGTGAGGCTCCCTGTCTGGCAGGGTGTCAGCACCCGTTTTCCTATTTGTGATCGTTAGCTGTAATGACACTGTTGGATCAAGGATCCCGAGCACTGTCAGGGGCATGTCTCATGCCGGCCGGGGATTTGCGTTGACCCTGGGAAGGTAACGCTGGGGCATTGCTGGCTGCCCTGCTCCAGCTGTGCTGGCCAGCAGGAGGGAGCACCTCCTCTCTGTTTCCCCTGACTCTACGGGGAGCCAGTGTCCAGCTCCAGCGCAGACGTGGCATTGTGGTCGTCGTGATGGGGCAGCCCCTTGTAGAGCACTTCTGTGGCTCTTCCCCTTCAGCAGAGCAATGGGGACCCTGGGCTCCCCACCAGCCCCCTCTTTGCTCACCCGAGTCCCTCATGTGGCTGTGACAGCGGCTCTCCGCTAGACCAGCCCTCGCCCTGCGTCCATGCGTTGCCACCCAGATGATCGCACCCGACTTCCTGTGCAGCGAACAGGAGCGGGCTGGCCCAGAGAGGACCTGGTGGAGCTCGGGGCGTGGGTGGCCTGGGTT